GATGCTGAGATGAGTGTTAAGGAATAAGTAGGAATTTCTTACAGGGGAAGAATATTCTAAGAGGGGGAGTACATGCAAAGGCTCAGTCCTAATAGATTAACTAAAGAATATGTCTTAAGACTCCTAATTCAAATTCACATTCAAGAATACTCTTATTATTTGCAGTTACCATTTTAAATGCATATGTAAGCACAAGTGGAGAACCACAAAGCCGCTTTGAGGAACAGATAACTTAGCAGTCTTATCTGCTAACAGAATGATTGGCTTGCACATACACCAGCCATTCTCATCATCCCTCATGAATCAACAACTTTCCATACTACCTTAGGTCCTGAAATTTCCAGTCGGCCAACTAGTCATTATATCACAAAGGCTAAATTAATGAATGCCAAAAGTCTGCCATATGCTAAATACGAAATTTAGTTTTTCTAATCCTTAGATCTTCAAATGTTCTTGTCAATTTTGCACACCATTAACTTGCCTAGAAATCATTAAAAAAATTAAATATAGAAATATTTAGCCTAGTTAACAAGTACATTTGCCTGTTCATTAATATACATTTTTTACTTTTTCTCTTTTGCTTTAAGAATTGAAACTACTGGTACAGAATCTTTTTCCTGAGTCTGATTATTCCTTTATTTTAGGACCGACTCTAGGCACAATTATGATATAAATAAACTGTGGCTTAAGATATATGTTTTATGGTCGGTCACATTACTTCATATTTGGACCTCATTTTTGTGGTGATGAATTGTAAGAGCTAGTTCTCCTTGAAATACTGAATTGTTGGCAATTGTCAATATCAGGCAGTTGAAATCAAATGGATTAACAGAGGTGAAGCTCAACGTGGCGTGTGACTGGTAGAATGTCATAAAACTCATAAGTAGCCACAAAAATAACATACTAATGCTGTTTATATAATCCTTTTTGTTTTTATGATACATTCATATATATTCTCAGTTTTTGCTAAGAAAAACCATGTATGTTAAGGAAGGATGAGTTTTGTTTTATTTTGCAGTTCAAGAAGCATTGAGAGTAAGAGATGTATCCACATAGGCACAACACACATTGTATTATTTCTAGTCCATATTATATCACTCAGTAAAGTACCCTTACAGGTTAAAAAAAATTTCCTATATCTACATATGTAAAATTTTTAATATATTATTACATATTTAATATATTTTAATATATATTTCTTATGTCTTAAGAAAGGAATTATTTTGAGACAGTCCCAACAGATAGGAAAGTGATTTTTTTTAATAGTAGAAGAATCTTTGAGAGAGATGCTTCAGAATTCTGGTTATGATTTTTATTATGGAACTAATGAAAATTTTCTTTATTCTTTAAGACGTATTTAATGGCAAACAGTCTCAGTATCCAATTTTCATGTAATTGTCAAAGATGTTCATGTTTTTAAGATAGTTTCATGTTAAGAGATTGAATAATGAGTTGCCTAGCTTATATATCAAACTCTTATTATGACCGACTTTAAGAAACTGGCTTCTTTCTTCTGCCAGAATGATGGTATTGAATACTGATATCACCTGGGGCGTGGAAATATTTTAGTTGTTTGACCTCTATTCCAATTATGCCTTGAAATTTATACCAACAGTTATAAGTGAACTTTTAATATTTTAATTGGTCTTTATACTATTTCAAGAATGTAGTGACTCTAGAATAATAATGATATTTTCAAGATGAGGGAGAAAAGTATGGTATTTTCAAAATGAGAAAGAAAAGTCTGACATGAGTTTAGTTTTTAAACTGTTACGATCGGTGCATTAGTAAGACAAACTGGCTGTTGAATTTCTGTGTTTATATGTGTTTGTACAAATTTTTAGAAAAATGTAGTTTTGTGAGTTTCTTAAAACATTATGTTCAACAAATAGGATGCTTTTGGGGGCCATTTAGGACTTAATGCTTTAAATTTAAATATAAAGTTTATCTCAAAATATATTGGTTATGATATCTTGACAGCCAATTACTTATCGTTAAAACTATGTATGTTTTGTTGTTGTTTAGTTTGTTAACGTTGAATTATAATCATTTTTGAACTGGCATGTGTCACTATGAAAATAAGTGCTGGTCTCTGTATCAAAGACTTTTTAAAAATCTAAGCAGAGACCCACTACAAAGCAGATAGTGGGCTGAATGAAGGTCAAACAAAAGTGGGTGGGGAGGGGGTTTAATAGGTTCTGTCCTTTTGGTTTAGTATTCAGGTAGAAGTGCTTGAAGAAACTTTTGAGATTGTTCATTGCAAGCAAATATATTTTTGCCTTAGTAATATTTCATTCAAAAAAATTTGAGTGTTCTGTGCCAAACATTGAAAGAAAAGAGTAAAAAAACTGAGAGGTTAAGTACATTAGTAAATATAGGCAAAAATATTTTTATTAAGCATACATGTATTATACACATGCTAAGTGCCAAGTGACATGGTGCTCAGTGTTGGAGATATAAATATAAAGGATATCATGATTCCTGCTGGAGGAGGAGGGTGGGGATCTCAGTCCATTTGGCAAGACAGACAAACTAAAAATTAAAGTTACAGTATATTATAAAATAAGTGCTATAATAATAGTGACCACTAAGCAATATGGAAACAAACAGGGGAGACACTTCAAGGGAATCTAGGAAAGCTTCCCAGACAGGATACCTGAATCTTGATGGTTTAGTAGAAGTTAGTAAGGCAGAGCAGGTACATTTCACGTAGATGGAGTAATGTTGCAATTACCCAGTGAGAGAATGCATGGAGGTCAAGGAACCCCAAGTAATCAAATAAGGCTGGGATGGATTAAAAAAAAAAAAAAAAAGGTACTGGCAAAGGGATGAGGCTGCATAGGGGAGCAAAAGACAGACCTTTCTAAAGATTTGAGATTTTAATCTGAAATTGCTATTAAAGGATTTATAGCAAGGAAGTGACATGATTAGATACAAAATTTACAAAGATCACTCTGGATGCTATTGGAAAGCTAAAAGATTTTCAGTTGTATTTGGAAGCTCTTTGTAAGATAAGGATATGTGTGAATAATTAAGTAAAAACAAATTTCAAAAATTATTCATGTTTGCACAACTTGGTTCTTTGAGGTATTTGCTAAACCCATAAGTTAGGTTCTTTGTATAATTGTGTTACAGACAGTAGTAGAATATTACATCCTTAGTATAACTCGGAGCTGATCAAATATAAGGATTTGAAAACTAATTGATAATTGTTGGAAATGCTGTCTGACTTCCCCTTTGCCTCATTGACTATTGAGTGTTGATCCTGTTTGTACTAAATCAGATGATGCTACTAAGTGATCACATTTATGCTCTGCATTGCCATGTTGTATGTATTCTGGGTTGCCCAGCCCTACCTCCAGTGCTGGGTTTATAGTTAAAAGGACATAAAATACAAAAGGTAAAGAGAAAATGAGGCTCAGAAGGCATGTAAGATTATCAGGTTGAGATACAAAAGGAGTTAAGAAGAAAGGTAGAAAAGTACCTTTTCCCTAATTGCCTCCTGCACTGTAGCCTACCTTTATCTTCCTCTTGCTCACATAAATTTTTTTACTGCTGAAAATGGCATGTAAATGACTCTAAGGCCTGTGTAGCCCACTCCAAACGTTTCTAAATGGTTATATTGTTTTCATTGCCTAAGAATTATACAATAACAAGTTCCATGATATTATAAACAGTTCTCCTTTTGCTTTGAGGTAGGGGCCAGACTGACAATTTAGACAGTATTATTTTTATTATATAAAAAATTCCAAAATAGGTATTATGGTTACTTGAGTAAATATAAATTGATTTATAATTGAAACTACAAAATGGAACACCATACTTTATTTCAAAAAATTGAATATGCTTAATTTTGGAGTTTTAGTATGAGATGTATAGTCATAGCTTATAGCATCCAAGTTATTGGCATGAACCCAGCAGGCTGAACCTTTCATAGCTACCAAGACTATTTAACTTAATCCAAATGAGTGGTAAGCAAGCTTTGAAAAACTTTGATTTCCATTAGTGTAAATCCGAGCTCTCATAAGAGTGGGTTTCTACTACTTTACATGCAAGCAGCTAGCTTCACTTAAAGCACTTTGCCTCCTGACTCCAAGACAAATATGAATATCTTCCTGCAGCAAAAAAAAGTTACCTATATGACCCTATGACTATGTCAGTCATTACATGTTCTGCATAATAACTCTAGACATCTAATTGATGAAGTAATATTGGGTTCATAATGAAATCAAATTATTTGGTATTATCAACATAAAATTATTCCATCTTGAGATAAATATTGTGGAAAAAACTGTACTTCTGCCATCTATTTTAAATCCTAAATTATTTAATTCAAAATGGAAGATTAGAGAATTAACTTATTCATAGTTTTTATCTTGCCATAAAGGAAAATAGGATTATTATATTAAAGAAGAGCTGGAAAAAGTAAGAACATACTTAGCCAGAGTTCACGTAACAAAAGTTTGTTTTCTTAGGCTCAGCTAATCTGTACTGTCCGTTCTAAAAATGGTTGACCAGACAGAAAATGTAAGGGCTGCTCTTTCATGATAAGGAACTGACAATGGAAGCAGTAAATACTTCTTTAAAGTTAATTTCTTGCTTGCCCTATGTCTCAGTTTTTACCTACTCAGGCTAATTTGCAGGTGCCTGGGATGAGTAGACAATCCATAATTTCCACCAATCAAGTAAAAGAAGGAAAGAAAACTCTGAGCTTCTCTCCCAGTTAACAGGTAGTTTGCTGTGGTTAAAATTAATGCAGATTTTACAGCAAAAAAAAATTAGCGTTTTCATTTGTTATAAGTAATTGATTTAAAATTTGGGAAATGAATAGTTGAGTGCATCATTTGAGTGTTTGTTTGACCAGTTACTTATTAGTGCAAGAAGTCATCATTTAAATTTTTCTCTATATATTATGGCAAATCAATTTATTTCTCTCTTCATTTTAACATATTTAACATATATGGTTACTTTTACTTGAAAATATATTTTGTTCTTTGCAGTGTTTGAGCAACACACCTCCACTTACTGAATATTTCCTAAATGATAAGTATCAAGAAGAACTGAATTTTGACAATCCTTTAGGAATGAGAGGTGAAATAGCTAAATCTTATGCTGAATTGATCAAGCAAATGTGGTCTGGAAAATTTAGCTACGTCACACCAAGAGCCTTTAAGGTTAGTATAGTAGATACAGTTTCAACGAAGGCTATGTCACCCCCAGGAGGGCAAAAATTGGTTCTTTGGGAAAGGGCAAAAAATCATAGCTGTTACAATGGTTTGTGGCCCTTGAAAGGGACACAGCACATAAAGAGATACACAGCACATCTATGGTATTAAATTTTCGGTGTAGGGGGTGGAGCGGATGATTAGTTTAAATGTCTTTAAAGGCTGTGGAGGATGGGGAGGGAAATAATGAAATAAAGGTTGAAAAACAATGCTATGTTACCAAATGGCCATAGAGAGACAGATTGTTTTAGAATACAGTACATATCTGAGAAACCTACAAAAATATTTTATACAAATGCAAAGACTAAATTTGGGCATGTCATTGAACTCTTTGAGAGTCATTGTTTGAAAAATTATTAAAATGAAACTTGTCTGCAAAACAAGCACTAAATATTAATTAAATATATTTTCAATGTAATTCTTAAACTTTTAAGTTTATTTTTAGTTGCGGAGTGGTTACTTCTTAGAATCAATAAAATCTCAAGTAATTTAGTTTGTCATTTAAATAAGAATTGAGCTGAAATTTAGTTTTTTGTTGTTAAAGTTTTCCTAATTATATAGTTTAGATTTATGAGAAATTTTGAACTTTTCAAAAGAATAAGCAGTTTTCAGCCTGTTTTTTTTTTTTTTTTTTTGTCCTGAGGAAGATTTGCCCTAACTCTGTTTCCAGTCTTCCTCTATTCTGTATGTGGGTCGCCGCCACAGCGTGGCTGCTCACGAGTGGTAGAGGTCCGTGCCCGGGAACTGAACAAACAAATGACGTTCATATAGGACATCTACTAGGCCACGTTTTATTAACTATATACTAGTCTTAAAAACTAAAAAACAACAAATCAAAAAACTCCTGCATTTTTCTTCTTTAACTTTCTAAACTTTGGACAAACTAGTTCAGACAAACCATTTCTCAACCCTTACCCATGATTCCAATTAGTTTCATTTTGCTGGATACTCTCTTTTAAAATTGTGTATAAATAGGTTCTTGATGTCTGACTTGTTTCTTTCACATTTCTTTTCAGTCTCATCAAAAAAATACTTAGTACTGCAAAGACTAGGAAATTATATATGAACATGAATGTTGCTGTTATCTCTATGAGATTCATCCTCTTTTTATACACAGAAACTAGATGAGAACTGTGATTTTTTTTTTATAGTGACCCAGAAATATTATTGAATCGTAATAATCTTTAGTGTTTCCCAGTCCTTCATACAAAACTATACCATATTTTCTCCTTATTCTTTCCTCAGGTCAACATTTCTTTGCTATATTACAGATTAGTTATCATTTTAAAAATATTTTTAGATACATAATTACCTATATGTAATTATTATATCTGTAGATGACTGCAAAAGTGCCACAAGTTGATTTGAGGGTTACAGATAAATTTTAGCAAGTAGGTGAATTCACAAATATGGAATCCGTGAATAAGGAGAATCGACTGTGTATTTTTTTTAATCAATCTTGTCTCTAGAACTGATTTTATAGTTTTGGTTTTCTTACAGACACAGGTAGGACGTTTTGCACCTCAGTTCTCTGGATACCAGCAGCAGGACTGCCAAGAGCTGTTAGCTTTCCTGTTAGATGGACTACATGAGGATTTGAATAGAATTAGGAAAAAACCGTATATACAATTAAAAGATGCTGATGGAAGGCCAGATAAGGTAAATTTAATAATATTATTGTCACCATTGTTATAATAATGTGCTATCTCTGGGTAAAATGTGTCTGTTTTCCTTATAGGTAGTTGCTGAAGAAGCCTGGGAAAACCATTTAAAAAGAAATGATTCTATCATAGTAGATATATTTCATGGCCTTTTCAAATCAACTTTAGTTTGTCCTGAATGTGCTAAGATTTCAGTAACATTTGATCCTTTTTGTTACTTGACACTTCCATTGCCCATGAAAAAAGAACGTACCTTGGAAGTTTATTTAGTTAGAATGGATCCACTTACCAAACCTATGCAGGTAAGTAATGAATATTTTCTTTGCATTTGTTATTTTTATAAAAAAATAGTGTTGAGTCCTCCTGCCTCAAGTACAATTTGACAATAATGTTTATTTGCGTAAGACATTTTATAAGCTAAATGCTTTGGAAATCAGTACGACTTTTTGGAATCTTGAAAGGGTGAGGGATGTGCACAGTATTACTATTTGTCATGTAAAAACAAAATTCTCAAAGCCTTTTTCTTATCAAAGAAAAATGAGAGGTTGATTTTACAATGTTGAGATGAATATTAGCTCACTAAGATTAATAACATAGTATTGTTTTCCCTGTTTTTCCGGTTTGAGCTATCTTTAATGTTAATTGTAATGTTTTTCCTAGTTGCTTTTGGAAGTAAAACTAATACTCTACATTTTGATTCATGATATGATAAGATAATGATATATTTAAATACCTGTAGTTTTTAGGCATCTTAAGAACTTGGAAGAGAAATGAAAATTTAGTTAGACTAAAAATGCTTGCTTCAGTAATGTGCTGATCTTTTAACAGTTTGGAATATCAAATATTTATTCTATTCCAAGAACCCTGTGGTAGGCCTTAATATCAGTTGTCTGCCTGATTCTATTACCTAGTGTTGAAATTGGATTGTTTTACGTTTTGTGGAGCCAAGCACTGATTTTCTCCCTTTATTAATCCATTAATCCTTTTCTGACACTTGACCTATCCAGGTAAAAGTAATTCTTTCCTCTTCTACCTTCTGTTTCCCTAAATTCTATTATAGGAATTATCAAATTTTATTGTGACATTTAGTTTACTTTGATCTTTTCTCCTGTAAACAATAAGTTCTTTAAAGATAGGGACCTTGTAAATCTATGTATTTCCAACCCTCCTGACTTGTAGGTACTAATGCAGAAGTGTTCAAAAATTTTATTCATTCAGATATGTATTGAGCACCTACTGAGTGTAAGGCTCTGTTTGGTAAACAAAGCAGACATGATTCCTGCCTTAGAAGAGTGTTCACTAAAGATCCTTACTTAGAGTTCTAGCCTGATAGTGCAGTTTGTTAGAGCATAATAGTTGTATTAGTCTGCTCAGGCTGCCAGAACAAAATACCATAGCCTGAGTGGCTTAAACAACAGAAATTTATTTTCTCACAGTTCTGGAGGCTGAAAGTCTAAAATCAGAGTGCCAGCATGGTTGGTTTCTAGTATAGACTCTCTTTCTGGCTTACAGATGGCAACCTCCTCACTGTGTCCTCACATGGCAGGGAGAGAGAGAGAGCATGCACAAGCTTTCTGGTATCTCTGCTTTTAAGGGCTGTAATCCCATCATGAGGGCCCCACCTTCATGATCTCATCTAAACCTAATTACCTCCCAAAAGCCCCATCTCCAAATACCATCACATTGGTGATTAGGGCTTCAGCATATGAATTTTGAGGGGACACAATTCAGTCCATAGCAGTATTCATTAAATCTATATGAAAGGTATGTTTTGAACAAAATTATGATCTTACTGTGCCTTTAGTGGAAGTGTTTGGGCTTACTATCAACTAGGGCACAGTATATGGAGTGTTCATGAAAATATAGTGCTTTCATTCAACATAATTAAAGTCTAGTAGAGACTAGTCATGTACTGGACTCAGTTACACACATTTCACCCATTTCTTTTGCTGCTGCTTTATGTTTCCTTCTCATTGTTCAACTCATTGAACCTGATGCCCTCACGTCAGTATTTCATCCAGTAGTGCTGAGAATATTATAGAGAGTAAGAGAGACATGGTACTTGCCCTTATCCATGAGCAGGGCCAATGAAGACCTGCTTTTATTTTTGGCCAGGGAATATATATTCACATTTCTAAAATCACATCCTTTAGATACTCACTAATTCACTTGTTTATAGGTATATTAACATTCTTTTCGATGGAAAGACACTATAGCATGGCTAAACTACGCCCTTACCTCTCTAAGTTTGTAACTTTACAAATGTATGCCAATGAGTATAATATAGAATAAAAGAGTATAAAACAATGAGTAAAAATTTATTATAAAAAAAATGTAGCTACTCTGAGAGCACATTTGTTAAAGACAGTACTCTCCCATGCTGATATAAAGTAATCTGTATTTTATAGAGGCAGATTGCATTCCAGTTACACGTTAGCCCATAAGGTATGTGTTGAATGTTCTCCCATAATTGGGATTTTAAATTATTTTTTCAGCAATGTGAATTTCATCAGTTTTGTTGACCAAAACTGTAAATTTGTGAAGGTTAGAGCCATGGTCAGCACAGAGGAATTGGGATTTCTTTTCCACTTGGAGGCAGTAACAACTCAAATACAAAATGTTAGCCTCACTGTACTCTAACCAGCTGGAAAGGAAAGGGACATTAGCTGAGTTAGCCTACTTGATGAGTTTTCCCATCATTGAAGTTGATGTACAGGTCATAGAAGTTTATTAGTAATTGTATTGAACATGTATTATGTATTGGACTTTCATACTGTGCAAGGTGCTGGAAATACAAAGGTGTTCCTAGCCCTTGTTCTCAAGAAGCTTGTCTATGGTGTGAAAAGTGCTGTGACAGGGTACTTGTAGTAGTATACAGAAGGAGTAACCTACCCAAACTGGCAGTGGTGCCTGTGTTGAATTCTGAAGGATGATTAGGTTATAAGCACGTGAAAGCTGGAAATAAAAGCATTATAGACCAAGAGAGTGGCGTGTACAAAGGGCTGAAGGCAAAAGAGGACATGGCCCACTTCTAGAAACTACAAGTAGATAGTATGGAAACTAGAAGCTAGATCACAAAAAAACCTTGATACCGTGAGACGAAGTTTAGACTTCACCCTAAAGAAAAGGGGAGCCATTAAAGGTTATTAAGAAGAGAGATTTGTGGCCAGACTTGTGTTTGAAAAAGAAGACTTTGGCTAGTGCAAAGATTGAATTGGAAAGGCTTAGATCGGGTGTACTAAGACCAGGTAAGAGGTTTTTGCAGTGATCAGATGACAGATGACAAGGGCTCAAACTCAAGATTAGTGTCAGGATTGCAGTTAGATAGAAGAACCAGTTGAATGTAGGAGGTGAAAATGTTTAATAGTGTTCAAAGATGATGCCAAGTTTATTGGGTTGGAAAACTGTGGAGATAGTGATGCTATTTGTATTAATGCATTATATAGGAAGAAAAGTTTAAGAAGAAACATATTTTAGTATTGGATATGTTGACCTAACATGACCTAAGTCTGTGTTTAGTAATTGGACATGTTGACATGCATGTGGAAAATTTAGATAGAGATACCAATGGACATTGATTTTATGTATCTAGACTAGAGGAGAGAGGTCTGTACTTGAGATATAAATTGGGCAGTGAGCTCTATGAAGATGGTAGTGAATGTCTTAGAAGGATGAGATCACTGAAGGCTAAGGTGACCCTGTAATTTATCATCTAAACCAGAACTCTTTTAAGAACAAAAGAGGCAATTGTTAAGGATTAGATCAGGGCAGCAGGCTAATCCAGGACTGGCCAAAGCAAACCAGGATATATTGTCACCTAGTCTAAGGAGAACATATAGAATTGAGAAGAGGGCTAAGGATAAAACTCTAAAGGACACTAGCGAAGAGCCTCAAAAGAAGGTGTGACCAGGGCAATAGAAAAGAATAAGAAGTAGTGTTGTAGGGAAAGGAAGAGTTTAAAGGAGGAAGTGGTCAGCAGTCATGCTACAGAGACGTCAATAAAATAAGGACTGATAAAGATTTGATTGTATGATAGTATTGACAACCTTGGTAACAGGTTAAATAAAAAGGTGAAGACAAAAGCCAGGAGTGGATTGATAGGTGAATGGGAGGTGAGGAAGTTAGGATAGTCAGTGTAGATATTACTTTCAACATGATTATTTATAAAGCAGAAAAGAAAGGGAGATAATTAGAGGGGAATTATTAGAGGGAAAGCAATAAGGGACTGTTTTGTTTTTTGAGAGACTCCTATCTATCTATCTATCTTTTTATCTATCTATCTATCTATATATCTATATATATATCTATTCCAGTGCTTATGTAAGAGTCAAGATAAAATGAAATAAAGGATAATTGCTGGGTTTAGGTTCCAGAGGAAGCAGAAGAGTATGGGATCAGAGCACAGATGCTAGGGTTAGCCTTGAATGGGAAGAGTGACACCAGATTCTTTTTCCATGTGTTGAAAGAGACAGAGAAAAGGACCTTTTAAACTCAAGTTTGTAGGGAGACAGGAGGTTGGAGATTTCCCTATCTAATAGCCTCTGTATTCTAGGTGAAATAGGTATTCTGCTGATAGTGAAGTGGGAAGTGGTGAAATAGGAAGCCTAAGGAATGGTGAAGATTTTAAATATTTATTCAGAGAGTAAGCAAACAAGGGATACACAGAAGAACTTCTGGCTGGTATTGAAGGATCAGTTGAGATTGGGCACTGTGAATTTGTAGTGCACCAGTCTCTAAAGTTGGGCAGTTTTCTCCAGCATATCTAAATAGCCCTAAGAAAGTGTAACAAGAATAAAACTGAATAACAAAGTAGTTAAAGATTTTACAATGGAGTAGTTGAAGTGATGAATCATGTGGGGTCTGGATGGAAGGGCATGAAGAAAGTAGAGTGGTAGTAAACTGGGAGAAAATTGAGAGTTAAAAAGACTAGAGATCTCAATGCAAGCCAAGAATAGGAAAGAATGAGTTTACAGGAAAAGTAAGCAGTGGTTAGACAGTAACCTGTTGAGAGTTTAGAATATCAGAGGTGGAGCGGGTTATGACAAGGTCCAAGAAGTGAACTACAATTAAGTGTAGGTCTTGGAATTGAGGAGCCAAAGAACAGTAAGGCTAAGATAAATCCTCCATATGGATATTGTCAGCCAGGATGATGGCAAGATTGGAGACAGACAATGTGAGCCAAATGCCAAGTGAAGGTGAGGAAGCAACCATGAGGTCAGTCTCATCTGCTGAATATTTTTTCCAGTGTAATAAATTCATTACAGTTTTTTTGTTTTTTAGTACAAAGTGGTTGTCCCCAAAATTGGAAACATACTTGATCTTTGTACCGCGTTATCTGCTTTGTCAGGAGTACCTGCAGATAAGGTAAGATGTTTCTGGGTTTGAAGTATGTAAGTTGGAGTTTAGCTTTTCAGTGTTGTAAAACCAGCTTAATAGAAATTTATTTTCTTTTAGATGATAGTTACTGATATATACAATCATAGATTTCACAGAATATTCGCTATGGATGAAAACCTTACTAGTATTATGGAACGGGATGATATTTATGTGTAAGTATAAAATTCATTGTGCAGAATATGACTTGAGAAAAAATTCAAAAGAAATAACATAAAAGTTTTCAGAGTTTATAGTCAGTTGTGTCCTTGTAGGTTTGAAATTAACATCAATAGGACAGAAGATACAGAGCATGTGATTATTCCTGTTTGCCTAAGAGAAAAATTTAGACACTCAAGCTACACCCACCATACTGGTTCTTCACTTTTTGGTCAGCCTTTTCTTATGGCTGTACCACGGAACAATACTGAAGATAAACTCTATAATCTCCTGCTTTTGAGAATGTGGTAAGTGCCAGACAATTCTATGTTAACAAAACAAAATGTAAAATCGCTAAGAAAAGCAAACGTGCAAGGTACTATGAGAATATATTTAGGTAAGTCTGTATTATCTCAACTTGGTTTAACAATTTAAAAAATCAAATTGTAGTCTGATCTAGTTTCTTGATCATGTAGAACACAGTAATTTCAAACCCGAGAAGCATGAATTCTTTTAGCTGTTTTACACCAAAAGTTTACGGTTGAAAGAAAATAGGAATTTATCATGTAAACACTCATATCATAACAAATGTCAGATGCTTCATTTCTTTATACACACTGCTAGTTCAAGAACTCATACTAGTAAATAGTTTTATTTACAAGGATAAACTTTCATGGTTGATAGTATTGTAAGGCAACCCCTTTTTGTCTTCCAGAAATCTTGATGTGAATTACAAGGCAATCAAGAATGCCATTTGATCTCCGTATTTTATCCTTTATAGCTGACATATTTAATATTCTTTCCTGCGTACCTGTTTTAATCATTATAGTCCCATAACCCATATATAAAGATCACATTATACAACTGTAAGTGATATTAGCAGTAATATATATCATCTAAATGAGCATCTTTATATATTTTTTTTAAGTTGAGAAATTATTTGCCACAAACCTTTAACATATGAAAGGAAGATGTTAAGGGGCTGGCCTGGTGGTGTAGTGGTTAAGTTCACGTGTTCCACTTCGGCAGCCTGGGGTTCGCCGGTTCGGATCCCAGGCACGGACCTACACACCGCTTATCAAGCCATGCTGTGGCAGCGTCCCACAAATAAAGTAGAGCAAGGTGGGCACAGATGTTAGCTCAGGGCCAGTCTTCCTCAGCAAAAAGAGGAGGATTGGCAACAGATGGTAGCTCAAGGCTGATCTGCCTCAAGCAAAAAAAAAAGAGCAAGATTGGCAACAGATCTTAGCTCAGGGCAAATCTGTCTCACCAAAAAAAGAATAATAGTTAATTAGTTAATTAATACTAATAAAAACTTGAGTTAGAGGTAGAGCAATTAAAAACAAGTTTTATTGAAAGAATGGGAAACTTTTTCTTAAGTTTTTACCTTTGTAGAACTGAACTTGTTTGATTTCTGATTTTATTTAAGCCGATACGTCAAAATATCTACTGAAACCGAAGAAACAGAAGGATCCCTACACTGCTGTAAGGACCAAAATATTAATGGGAATGGCCCAAATGGCATACATGAAGAAGGTTCACCAAGTAAGACTTCCCTGTTAAATTGTAAAGACTTTTCACTTGGATTGTTGCCTCAGAGAAAAGAGGATGGGATTAAGGAACTAAAAAATATCTACAAGCCTGGGAAAAATAATGTTAGTATTAATAATTTTTAAATGTAGCATTGGATTTATTTAAAGACTTCTAATATCTAAAATTAGGTGAAATGGAAACAGATGAGCCAGATGATGAATCCAGTCAGGATCAAGAACTTCCCTCCGAGAATGAAAACAGTCAGTCTGAAGATTCAGTTGGAGGAGATAATGATTCTGAAAATGGATTATGTACTGAGGAAACTTGCAAAGGTCAACTCACGGGACACAAAAAACGATTGTTTACATTCCAGTTCAACAACTTAGGCAATACTGATATCAACTACATCAAAGATGATACCAGGCATATAAGATTTGATGATAGGCAGCTTAGGCTAGATGGTAAGTATCTGTGAAAAATGACTTGAACCCTGAACTTTAGCAAATCATCTTATTTTTTTTAGGTGAAAACCATGAAATTCAACATTGTCATGAAAAAATAATATTTATTTATCTAAAAATCTTAAATGAAAGCCTTAATTTCTAAGTATACTAAAACACATGTCAATGTTTATTAAATGGGGTTAACCTATTATGCTTAGGTTTCGTATCTTTTTTTTTCTTTTTTCCAGTAACTTTATTGAGATCATAATGGTTTATAACATTGTACAATTTCAGTTGTACATTGTTGTTTATCAGTTTCTGAGTAGACTTCATCGTGGTCACCCCAAGTAGTCTAATTATTGTCTGTCACCGTACATATGTGTCCCTTTACCCTTTTCACCCACCCCCCACCCCCCTTCCTCTCTGGTAACCACTAATCTGTTCTCTTTATCCATGCGTTTGTTATATTCCACATATGAGTGAAGTCATGCAGTATTTGTCTTTCTCTTTCTGGCTTATTTCACTTAACATAATACCCTCCAGGCCCATCCATGTTGTTGCAAATGGGATGATTTTGTCTTTTTTTATGGCTGAGTAGTATTCTATTATATATATATATATATATACACACTACATCTTCTTTATCCAATCATCAGTTGATGGGCACTTGTGTTGCTTCCACATCTTGGCTATTGGAACAATTCTGCAGTGAACATAGGGGTGCATAAATCTCTTTGGATTGTTGGTTTCAAGTTCTTTGGATAAATGCCCAGTAGTAGTGGGATAGCTGGATCATAGAGTATTTCTATTTTTAATTTTTTGCAAAATCTCCATACTGTTTTCCATAGTGGCTGCACCAGTTTGCATTACTAACAACAGTGCATGAGAGTTCCCTTTTCTCCACATCCTCTCCAACATTTGTTGTTTTTTGTCTTGGTAATTATAGCCATTCTGACCAGTGTAAGGTGATATCTCATTTTGATTTGCATTTCTCTAATAATTAGTGATGTTGAACATTGTTTCACGTGTCTGTTGGCCATTTGTATATCTTCTTTGGAAAAATGCCTGTTCATATCCTCTGCCTATTTTTTGATTGGGTTGTTTGGTTTTTTTGTTGTTGAGTTGTATGAGATCATTTTGGTGATCAACCCCTTGTCGGATAAGTGATTTGCAAATATTTTCTCCCATTTGGTGGGTTGTCTTTTCGTTTTGTTCATGGTTTCCTTTGCTTTGCAGAAGCTTTTTAGTCTGATGTAGTCCCATTTGTTAACTTTTTCTTTTGTTTCCCTTGCCCAGTCAGACATGTTATTTGAAAAGATGCTCCTAAGATCAATGTCAAGTAGTGTACTGCCTATATTTTCTTCTAGGAGTTTTAGGGTTTCAGGTTTTACATTCAAGTCTGTAATCCATTTTGAGTTAATTTTTGTGTATGGTGCAAGATAATGATCTACTTTCATTCTTTTGCATGTGGCTGTCCAGTTTTCCCAACACCATTTATTGAAGAGACTCTCCTTTCTCCGTTGTATGTTCTTGGCTCCTTTGTCAAAGATTAGCCTGTCCATAGATGGGTGGGTTTATTTCTGGGCTTTCAATTCTGTTCCATTGATCTGTGTGTCTGTTTTTGTGCCAGAACCATGCTGTTTTGATTTCTATAGGTTTGTAGTATATTTTGATGTCAGGGATTGTGATGCCTCCAGCGCTGTTCTTTTTTCTCAGGATTGCTTTGGCTATTCTGGGTCTTTTGTTGTTCCATATAAATCGTATCTTTTTTTTCTTTTAAAACTCCTAAAATATTTTAGTGGCTTGGAAACAGCGATTTGCCCTGATCACCTGTGCAAGTAGAAAAGATTGCCATTTTTTTATTCTGGTACATATCTTAACATTAAAATATATTAATTTTAACATGAAGACATATTAAATTTTAAAGAAAAAAATATGTTTTCCACCTTAGAAAGATCTTTTCTTGCTTTGGATTGGGATCCAGATTTGAAAAAAAGATATTTTGATGAAAATGCCGCTGAGGTAAGTCACTCATTCCTTCTTTATCTTTCCCATGTTGATCACACTGTTTTGTTACACTCTTTGACTTCTACCAAATATTTATTTTGCTAGTAGAAAATTGGTTATGTACTAGTAGAGAAAAGGCTTGTTGGTTTTGAACATGCCTTCTGTTTATCCTTTTGAGTCGTCCACATAGGTGTGTATACAGGAGTTATTTAGAAGTGTGGTGTAAATCTCAGCTGAAATAAGCGTTATGATTCTTTTGAGAAAGTTTAGGAGTTTTTCATTCCAATTCATAGTAAGATGGTATCACTAAAATGAGTTTTGTTTCATTTGTTCTCTTAACTCAAGAAATACTTCTCTTTAGGATTTTGAAAAACATGAAAGTGTGGAATATAAACCTCCTAAAAAGCCCTTTGTGAAATTAAAAGATTGCATTGAGCTTTTTACAACAAAAGAAAAGCTAGGTGCTGAAGATCCCTGGTAAGACACAAAGTTAAATAATTGTTTCTAATTATTTTCTTAAGGGTTTATACTGAGGTATGTGCTACCTCAAGTTGAAAAAGTGATGACTAAATTCCCTTTGATATTTTAAATAATAAGAATTTCTTTATATGATAATAGTCTGTTAAGAGAAATGAGACTGTCTTTAAAAGTATATTATAATGTTAAGCTTTGATCTCATTACAATATTTTCTATAATAGCCATTTTACTATGAATAATTAATTTTAGTTACTTTTTCCCAAGAATTTTTAGCTGTGCAGCCATTTTGAAAGAAGCTTTTTTAGGAAAATCATAATGCTATGTTTTGTGGTGTTATTAATTCCATTAGAGCCCAGGAGTTTTGAGATTTTCTAATACCTGTATCTCAGCACAATTTTGTGATACATCCATGTCTTTTTAGCATACTGAAATGTAAATAATCTACCCTCATCATATCTTTGAATACTTATTTACATATTAATTTATGATGGTTTTATCTATTTGGAAAATGTATTGAAGGTAAAAACAATAACAGGATTTCCTGTCAGTCTGGTACATATTAGGCTTACATACAGTAATTGCTCACTGAATAAATGTAGAACTTTCCAAACATTTTTTTCCCATTATTTTCATTACCTCTGTCAAGTTTTAAATATTTCTCTTTATGTTTAGGTATTGTCCAAATTGTAAAGAACATCAGCAAGCCACAAAGAAATTGGATTTATGGTCCCTGCCTCCAGTTCTTGTGGTCCATCTCAAGCGATTTTCTTACAGTCGCTACATGAGAGACAAGTTGGATACTTTAGTTGATTTTCCTATCAAGTAAGTTTTGATTGTACTTCATAAACTTTGGGTAACTCTACTTTTTTTAAACATCAGATAGCATTTGACCCAATTTCAGTTTTTGAGTGTATTTTTGAGTAGTTCCAACAATTTGTAACGATCAGTAACAATTTTTTTTCCTTCTTAGAGATTTTTCAAAGAACAAAGAGAAAATATCCTTTTTAAAAAAACAGAATAAAACTCATTCTGTGTTACATTTATCTTATGGGTTCCTTGGCCCTGCTTATAAATCTGAGATACTTTATGAGATGTTACTGATTTTGTTTTCCTAGAATTTATTTCATTATTAATTATCAATTATTCCTAAATATGCTTTTAAAAAAAGACTAAAGTAGTATGAAAATAGAATAATGGAATTGCTTGGAAGAATAATAAATCATACCTATCGTGTCAGCCTTCAGTTTTCTTATTGCATTGTCCAGAGTATGATATCATATTTGTAAAAAGGTATAAAGAAATCTGGAGACAGCATCTTTGTAGTCCTTTTTTTTTTTAAAGCTTTCCCTAAACATAATTGAGAATTCAGAACAACAACAAGGGAATATTGTATTCTCATTCACATAGTCCAGGAAGGACTTCATCACACAATATTTTGCAACAAGAACTTGGTATTCTCCCATTTTGCTAAAAGAACATTGATAGTTTTCTTTCATATTTCATGATATTTTTGCATCAAATTTGCTTCATATAGTTAGTAAGTAGATAAATGTTGAAGACGGGTATGTATACCAAAGTGATTGGAAGGAAGTAGATGAGGTAATAATGAAAACATTCTTTGGATTGCTTATTCTAATTGGTGTTTATAAATTTAAAGTTGAAAATGTTTTGCAATTATGGAACAAAAAGTGGTAATTTTTTCTTCAACAAAATTATGAGCCATCAAAGTTTTCAAGAATATAGCATTTTGACAATGTAAATACAAGAACCAGAAGTAATGATAAGCTAGAACCTATTAGAGATGTATTTGAGATTTAGAATAGTTACTGCTTTTTAATGATGCAAGTACAAAAAGAATAACCAGAAATAATGATAAGCAATAATATGGTCATGTTCCAGTTTCATGCATGACATATTATAAACATTTTGTTGCGTTTCAGAGGAATGTTGCCCATTTGGGGTATATAAATCATCAAAACCAGGAAAACAATAGAATAAATATTGGAGTTGAGGTATATTTAAATTATTATAAAATTTCTAAGAAAGTTGTTTTTCACTACCCCTTTATTCTTCCTTAAATAAATCATTCCTAAAAATGACTTTAAAATTTTTTTAAATAAAAATAAAAAGGACCTAGATGGTAAATGGTGATGACTAACAACAATCAGTGGAAAATTTTTAAATTCTCAACCCTAAGAAAATTTTTGCTAAAACATTCAAATCTCAGGGATATATACATGATTTGTTTTATAGTTATTTGGCTCTTAGTAATTTCTGTAGTGAGCGATATGTATATATAAATGAAAGTCTAACAACACTGACAGAAGGGAATAGAATTCATTGCATTTAGGGAAAACATAAAACTAACTTGATGTCTTTTTTAAACAGTGACTTGGATATGTCAGAATTCCTAATTAATCCAAATGCAGGTCCTTGTCGCTATAATTTGATTGCTGTTTCCAACCACTATGGAGGGATGGGAGGAGGACACTGTAAGTTGACAATTTACCTTTTTACTAAAATCATGATGTTTGGAAACTCCCAACTTTTTTGCTTAAGATACTTATTACTTCTTAAAGAAACAATGTGAGGTGTGTCTTACAAATAGTAGTTGTTCAATAAGTATTGAACAATGAATGAATCAGCTTTTGAACCTTTTTTACATCAGGAGTAGAGGATTGAGTTAATCATACTCCTGAGTTCAAAGCACAGGATCACCACTAGTCCTTTCAGGGCTCCTGTCCTTCCCCATTCTCCTTCGCCTTCCCTTTCTAAGGTGTTTGATATATGTGTGCTTATAAATCATGCATCATTGTTAATTTACATTATTGGTACTATGCTGTAGATCTTTTTTTCTCTTGACACTTCTCTTGACACTTATCCACATTGCTTTGTGTACATTTAGTCCCTTCCTTCTAACCACTCATGATTACATCTGCCATATTTCATCTCTCTACTCACTTCATGGTGGACATGTAAATTGCCTTTAACTTTTTACCACCACCTGACTAATAAACATTACTCTTTGTGGTCCCCTATGTGAGAATTTTTTTGAGCTACGTATTCAGAAGTGAGATTGCTGGGTAATAGAGTGTTGAAGCACTGCCAGATGGCTGTTAAGTACAGTTATACCAGTCTACAGTCTGTAGTTGATAGATTTTTCTGTTGAAGCATCTTTGCATTCCTGGGATAAATCCTCCTTATCTTTAAGTATTTTTTAATATACCCAGTTGGGGGCCAGCCCGGTGGCGCAAGCGGTTAAGTGCGCGCGCTCCGCTGCGGCGGCCTGGGGTTCGCCAGTTCAGATCCCGGGCGTGCACCGACGCACCGCTTGTCAGGCCATGCTGTGGCGGCATCCCATATAAAGTTAGGAGGAAGATGGGCATGGATGTTAGCCCAGGTCCAGTCTTCCTCAGCAAAAATAGGAGGATTGGCAGATGTTAGCTCAGGGCCGATCTTCCTCATAAAAAAAATAATAATAATAAAATAAATAATATATCCAGTTGGATTTGGTTAACTAATTTTATTTAGGATTGTTACAATTTAATTCATAAGTAAAATGGTCTTGTAATGTTTTTATATTGTTCTTACTTTGGAATCAAGATTACAGTCTAGCCTAATAAAACAGGCTGGGATACTTTACTCTTTTTCTGTTTCCTGAAGCAGCTTGTACAGTATAGGAATTAACTCTTCTTGAAAGTCTAGTAGAATTGACCTGTAAAACTATCTGGACTTTATAGCCATCCATTTTTCAATTTATGTTATGCTTATTAAAATCTCTTCCGTTTTCTTTTTCCAAAAAGTGTGCATTTTAGCATTCTCTATTTTTCTAAAAATGTATCTGTGTTTTCTAATTGAGAATAGTTGTTTATAATACTCTTATGCTATATTTTTGTCTCTTTTTCATTCTTTTCTCTTTTTTCTTTTTAATTGGTCTTCCCAGAGGTCTGTCTTACTAATTTGTTCGAAGAATTAGCTTTCCATTTTATTAAATTTTTCTTTTTGTAGTTATATATATGTATTCTATCTCATTGATTTCTTCTCTTCCCTTTGGTATATTTTTGATTTCTTCTCTTGCCTTTGGTATATTTTTCTTCTTATTACTTTGGGTTTGCTCTGTTGCTCTTTTTCCAACTTCTTGGGTTGAACGCTTATTAGCTTTTTGCTTTCCATTTTTCTTTTCTCTCTATTGAAGGCTATAATTAAAGCTATAAATTTACCTCTAAATCACTGCTTCATCTCTGTCTCATAAATTTTGAAATGTATTTTCATTGTCTTTCAATTCTATATATATTTTTAATTTCTTTTTTGATTTTCTAGTTAGCCCAGGGTTATTTAGTGATAGATTTTTGTAAAGCTCTCCTTTTGTTCTTAATTTTAATTTTATTGTATAACAGTTGGGGACATTGTCTATATTATATTAATCTTTAGGAGTTTATTAAGATTTCCATGTAGCTCAATACCTAATCTGTTTGCTAAATGTTTGTGTGCTTGAAAAAATATGTATTTCCCAATCAAACATAGAGTTCTGTATTTTCTAGTAGTTTAAGCTTATCATTTGTATTCAAATCATTATTATATCTGGTTATTTTTGTTGTTCATTCTATTTCAGTGAGAAATTTGTCAGGACTCCTACTAAAGTGTTGATTTATCTGTTTCTCCTAACAGTTTTATTAGTTGTTTTGCATTATTAGTTGCATTTACATTTATAATGGGTCACTCTTCTTACTCTGTTGCTCTTTTCAGCAGGATTTGACGGTCTTTTTTTCCCTCTTGTCTGTTTCTCAGAATTAGGAATGTTAGTCTAGCTTTCTTTTGATATCATCATTTGGTTTGCAAACTCTGTGTTCTTTTTGTTGGATTTGTCTCTTACAAACCATATTATTGTTAGGTCTTGTCTTTTTATTGTCTAGCAATATGTTTCTTTTAATTTGAGAGTACAGTGGTCTTGAGTTCCAATTGACAAATTTACAACCCGTAAGAGGCTCCACCCAGAACAAGAATTTTGTTTTGTGAGAGGTAGAACTATTTAGAAGACATAGCCTGTATAGTGTCACTGTTTAGAAGCTGTGACAGCAGATAATTATTTGGGGGACATTTTGCACCTTTGTCTCCTCAGTTACTGGATAGTTTATACAAAGCACGGGATCGGAAAGCGGGCATTTTTTTTTAACTTGAAGATGAAGCAGATCTTTAAGAATTGTGCAGATTAATTATTGCTTTTTACCTCTCTCTTGCTCTGTACTTTTGTTAAAGACTGAAAAAGCGTCTGGTGTAAAAACCACTACAAATTAATAAGATAGTATTGTTGGAAAAATATTTGTCATAGAATATTTAAATTAAGGTTGAAATTTCAAACTTTGGAGTCAGAGACAGACTTGTGTTTAAATCCTGATTCTGCTACCTAACAGCTATAGAGTTGAACAAATTAAGCTTCTCTTGATGCCTCACTTTCCCATCTCTAAAATCAGGAGATAATGGTGATAATACCTTCTTTGAGAGATAATACATATAAAGTGCATAGTGCTGTGCCTGGGACACAATAAGCACTACATGAATGTTAATTACCATTTATTGTCATTAGTATTGTTATTCTTTGAATTAAAAAATAATAAATTTGTTCTGTTTGCTCCTGAGAGGGGAAAAAATCACAAATTTCAACTTACAAGAAAAGTATTTTAGGCATCTAGATTGTAGGAAATCATTCTGAAAACCTTTAATCAATGGAATCAGTTGACTGTCTAATAGACATAGGCCTTATATAGGTGATTATCATATAATTTTAATAGGTATTCCTTATATAGATGATTTTAAAGTTTTGAGGGTTGCCCCCAGGAAATCGTAGATCAGTTCAGTCACAGAAGTGATTATATTTTTTCATTAGATACTGCTTTTGCAAAAAATAAAGATGATGGAAAATGGTACTACTTTGATGACAGTAGTGTCTCACCTGCATCTGAAGACCAGATTGTGGTAAGTATGTAATTTATTTCCTGAAAATCAAGGGATCCACTGTTTCAAAGAGGTCTGTGGAGCAATATCATCTGTATTCTAGTGATTCTGATAGCTAAGAGAGACTTGCTCTGCGTGTAAAATTGTCCCCTCAGTGGAAATTTGTCTTCTAAATTTGCTCACTAGCAGAAGCATAAATTGCAATTTGAAATTTTTTCTGGTAGTTTTCAACATGAAAACTGGAGTTTTCTCATGAAAATAATAAAATTTTCCTCTGGAAAGTAGGCCCAGACATTTCTAGACATTGACTACTTAAAGTCAGAATGCTAAAATAGAAACAAAAAATCCTTTAAGCGCCTTACCATACCTATGATTTTTAAAGTAACGTCTTATCCTTTGACATTTAAACTCAAAACAATATAATTAGATCAAACATATTATAGATTATTTTAAAAGTTAACCCTGTGTATTTGTTACTTTGATATTGTCTGAATAGGAGGAAATTACATTTCTTCACACTTGCATCAGTTTATCAGCCACAGCTGGAGCCAAAATAGTGGTATTTGTTTTGCTTCCCATCAGAGCAGATTTTTTCCCCCCTTGAGGAAGCTTCGTCCTGAGCTAACATCTTGCCAGTCTTCCTCTATTTTGTATGTGGGTCGCCCCCACAGCATGGCTGCTGACACGTGGTGTAAGTCCACTCCCGGAAACTGAATCAGGGCCACCGAAGTGGAGCACGCCAAACTTAACCACTAGGCCATGGGGCTGGCCCCATCAGAGCAGAATTTTATTATCAGACACTGATTGATGAAGAGATGACTAGTATGTTCTAAGAAGAAAGCTAATAAGACTTGCTTGATAAGGGTTTATTTTTCTATAAATTTTGCCTTTCTATAAATGTTACGTATTGATCACAATATTACAAAGAATAAAAAATATAGTATTTGCTCATGTGATCCTATTTCCTGTATACAGATTTTCTGTTGATGTGGCAAGCACTGACTGCTTTACTTTATTTTCCAGTTTAAATGATATATTCCTTGAGGGCAGAGATTAGCTTTTTTTTAATTTTATAATGCTCTGAATTCAAAAATCTCCAACTTATATTGTTCAATTTAATAAGTTAATAAACTTTCGAGCCCAATTATTGGCATAGTTTTAATCATTGGATGAACAAATATGAAATAATTTTGAATTGTTTCTCCACAGACATTTTATATTTTTATCCATGTATATGTATGTACATGTGTGTATATATATAAATTATGTACTGTTGCTTATCTCCCTGTAGCTATAACAAAAAACAGAGACTTGAACTCTAATATTTTTTAAAATGTGCAGATGTCTAAGTTAACTACATTTCCAGTTTATATTTAAACTTTTAATTTCAAGTCATATCCCTCCCTTTTCACTTTTGCTCTCCTCTTTAATCTCTCAACCAAAACATCCTGAAATTGCCTATATCCTCCTTCAAAGTCTCTTTTACAAGACTGCCCTAATCTTGCCTTCAAATAAACAATATATCATGTTTATATACAATATATGAATTTGATGTTACTTTGCATCTTAACAGTAATGATTCTTCATTTAGTCAACAAGTATTTGAGTACCTATTCTACATATAGGACTCTGTTCTAAACAAGGTTAAAAGACAGCTATCTCTGATTTCAAGAGGCTTACAATCTAAAGATGACAGAGAAGTAAATAAATATATCTGATAAGTACTATTAAATATCTTGGCTACATAGAAAGGAGACAGCTGTCTCAACTGATTTGGGGTTAAGAAGACAGGAGCAGTGCAGGGAAGTTTGCATAGAGAAAGTGGTATTTGACCTGAATCTGCAAGTACAAATATGAGTATATTAGACAAAAGAAGCAAAGGTGTCCTAAGCAAAGAGAACAGCACCTACGAAAGCAAGGAGGCCTGACAGAGCATGGCATTTAGGGGAACAGCAAATAATTTAGTATTACCGAAAAGAAAGACTTGTTAGGGATATGGGATGGAAATTAGGGGGGAGCTAAATTTGGCACTCAGATCAAGAAAGATGACATTCTTCATCGTTCAGACCTTTTCTTAAAGGCTATGCGAAGCACTGGATGATTGTTAAGCAATAGAAGAATATTATTAAGTGTGCATCTTCACAGCTCTCTGAGAACACTGTAGAAGACAGATTGCAAGGCACTGAGAACAGAAGCAGAAAGAGCGTTATTCAGCCTCCAGCAGAAAGGAAGCTGGCATGTAATTTGAACAGTAAGAGCTTCTAAATTTAAAGTAGTGGTAGTTAAGTGTTTAGACAAGGAGAAAATGGATTTATGAGATATTTACAGGATAAAATTAGGGGCCGGCCCGGTGGCTTAGTGGTTAAGTGCATGCACTCCGCTACTGATGGCCCAGGTTCAGATCCCAGGTGCACACCGAGGCACTGCTTGTCTGGCCATGCTGAGGCCACGTCCCACATACAGCAACTAGAGGATGTGCAGCTACGACATACAACTATCTACTGGGGCTTTGGGGAGAAAAAGGGGACAAAAAGGAGGAGGATTGGCAATAGATGTTAGCTCAGGGCCGGTCTTCCTCAGCAAAAAGAGGAGGATTGGCATGGATGTTAGCTCAGGGCTGATCTTCCTCGCAAAAAAAGCAAACAAACAAATAAAAAATACAAGATAAAATTAGTAGGACCTGATTAAGATTAGATATAAAGATAGAGAGAGGCATGGAGGGAGAAGTTGAATATGACTCACTGCACCATTCACCAAGATAGGAAATATAGGAAGAAAATGTGCTTTTGAAGTTTGAGGTACCTGTATGATAGCTATGTGGAAATTCCCATTAAGTAGTTGGGCTAATAGGACTAGAGTTCAGGGCTGAGAATTGGCCTAAGTTAGAAATTTGAGTTGTCAGTTGAAGCCATAGGTTTGGAGGAGTCGCCCAGTGAGAAGATACAGATTGAGAAAGAGTAGGGGGCTAAGGACAGAACATGACATTTTTTAAAGGTCAGAATTTACTGAACCCGCAGAAAAGTCAGAAGAAATCGTAGAGATAGAAGCTCCAAGGAAAAGTGGTGTCACGGAAGCCAAAAGTGGTTTGAGGCAGGAAAGAGGAAAGCAGGAAAGAGTAGAGGAAAGAGTAAAGCATTACATGCTGGAGAGACACTGACTAAAAGAACTAAAAAGACGTCCATTTAATTTGTTTATAGGAGGTTAGTGACCCTAGTGAAAGCCGTTTCATTAAAATGGTCAGGGCAACCTGACCATTAGATCACATTGAATTGAGGAGTGTGCATGAGAGTGAATCAGGACTATTAGATGACTCTGTCTACCAGCCTGGCTGTGAGGAAGAGGAAGAGAGGTTCATGGCGGCTAGAAGATGAAGTGGAATGCAGAGGGATTTATGGTGGAAAAAGACTTAAGTATTTTTTATGCCAAAGAGTGGAGTAGATAAGGACTCATTAAAGATACACAGTGCTGGTTGATGGAGCAGTATCCTTAAGACAGTAGGGAAGGTTGGACTCTAGAGCAAACAGAATGAAGCGATTAGTATTAGAAAGAAAAAAGGTTACGTTTTCCTTAGAGACAGGAGGGAAGAAGCACAGAATTCTATTTCATGTTAGAGTAACTAGGTTAATCTGTGATATAGTTGCATTTATTTATCTGTCCAGCTAACTTAGAGGAGAATAAAAACGTTAATTCCAATGACCATTCTTCTTTTATGTATAGAGGTCATCTTATATTTAATCAATTTTAGTAACTTTCAGTTGACCATGTATGGTTTTTGTTTGATTTATGCCATCACCAAAATTTGTCACCAGCTAAAAGTTCTTGCTGTATTTAATGTGATCTTTGAGAATCATGACCATTTTAACATCCTTTGTTTGTTTCACAGTCCAAAGCAGCATATGTACTCTTCTACCAGAGACAAGACACTTTCAGTGGAACTGGCTTTTTTCCTCTTGACCGAGAAACTAAAGGTGCTTCAGCTGCCACGGGCATCCCATTAGAAAGTGATGAAGACAGCAATGATAATGACAATGATATAGAAAACGAAAACTGTATGCACACTAACTAATGAAAGTCCTAGAAGCCATAAAAGAGACTTTCCTGCTGGTGGTGTCTATTGAAATGATGAAGTTACCCACCACATTAAACAGAAGTCTGAGATGGGGAGTTTCAGATAAGCGAATGTAAATCCTTTATCAGATTTTAACTTGTGCAGTACTTGAAGTGAAACACAATGAAAACTTTAACAGAAATTGTCTCTTAATACATTTACAGTCTTGTATTTACAAGCTAAATATATATAGGAAATCACAAATAAATCCCTTTTAAGTTTGCTGCTGTTTTGATGAATTATGTTTTCTTTAATTTTTTGGATGTGAGTTAATTGATGACAAATGTTAAATTTGTGGATGTTGGTCATTTATTTTGTTCTAATAATACTGCAAGAAAACTATGGCTAAACTTAGTTTTTGGATAATCTAGTTCATGTGCATTAGGCTGCCACATATACTACTATGATATTTAGCTGCGGTATCAATGTGACATAAATACTGCAGTAGTTTTCTTGGAAAACCAAATTTTCAAATCTATCCCTGGTAATCAATGTGGGCCTATTAAAAAACCAAATCATGATACAAGAAACATTCTTGAAAAAGTTGTTTCCTTTTACAATATCATTAAAAATCCAGATTATAATGTTCATTTTACTGCTACTGTGGAAACAGGTTCTAGATTTCACACTCCATCTAAAGTCATTTTTTAGTTAAATGTAAGTATTTTTTCCTGCTATTGGGATCTATTCCTTAGATATTCAAATTCTTTGTGACTTGCTTTAAAATGCATATCTTTAATCTGGTGTTGGTCCAAAATTAAAATTTTTGCTGTCTGTTTTTCTCTACCCCATTTTTTGGGAATTTGGCAACTTTTAGCTCTCCCATTTACTGTAATATAAGGACAGATTTGATAGTATTCTGTATCCATAGTAATAATTACATCAAGCTTAGATGAGAAATTTTTTTTGTATACTGGTCTTTAAATCATTAATGGACAATTGGCTTTAAAGGTAGGTCTGTTAACTTTCTTTGTGTGTTCCTGATGGAATTCACCATAGCCTTACAGCATTTCTCAGAAGGTAACTTGTTATAAGAGAATTGGCATTTGCATGTTCCAGAGTCAAAACCTGTACAGTATATAAAGCATACAAACCTTGAATTTGATTTTAGTTCACCACATTCAAGGATCCAGGATGCCAAAAATATGTGTGAACATTTGAAACATTTTTTATTTGCTGCTTTTTCCCTTTGATCTAGTTGAGAGAATGTATTGTCAATTGGCATACAATACTGCCTTTAAGAAAATCTAAATGCTGGGGCACATTTCACATATCGACTACCTGAGAAATTGCTTTGTGTCCCACTGTTATTAAAGCAAAAAGTATAATGTTCTTCACTTGAACTAATCAACTACAATAGATTATAAATTGTGTATTGTAAATAAAAGTTCACTCTGTGAGTGCACATTTTGGTAAATTATTTATTTATGTTAGCATTTAAAAGTAAAAAGAAAAAAATGCATTTGACCAGGATAAATGAGGTATGTTGATCATGGCTTTGCTTTATACCTTGATATTAAAGCTGGTTTTTCATCCTGGTATTTTAAAAGCTGCTTTGGGTTTTTTTCTTTTTTCTTTTCTTTTCCGTTTTTTTTTTTTGTTTTTGTTTTTTTTTTAATGTAAACTAACCTCCTGCATGACAGAGGTTAAAATTTTGTCTGCACTTGAGTTCACTTGAGTTTACAATTGAAATGTGCATGTTTATTTATACAGATTTCAATAAAGCTATTCAAGGCCTTATTTAGTCTTTTATTTCTTACTCTGAATCTTTTTATAAAAATTCCCTATTTTATGGGTAGGTGACTGTATGCTAGACTTTTTAGCTTTCATATAGTTAAAAATAGCAAGGAAAGCAAATCAGAGCAAAATGAATCCTACTGTTAAGGACATGTTTTAAAGTTGATATTTTTAATTTAAATATTCATTCACTAAACAGATGTCTGTTTGTGCACCTGCTAATCACTGCGCCAGAGTCTTGAGATGCAGCAGTGGACAAACGTCCCTGCCCTCACAGATCGGGTAGTCTTTCTGCTGTCTACCAACTAGTAGACTGTAGTTCCGTTTTTCTGAGGTTTAAAGAAGATTAACTTTTTGTAGCCCTAGATTGTAGTCTCCATCCTGATTCTCCATAGAGACCGTTCCTGTTTAATGCCTGTGATTAACTTCTATTTCCACTAAAAGAATTGTGTTTTTAAATAGGAAGTGATGTTAATAATGCCATTGAATTTGCCAAACTCAAATGACATTTTCAACTGCACAAAATAAACTGTAAAAATAGTGCAAAAGGCTAATCCACACTCTAATTAAAAGTAGATATTCACAGGTAATACAGGGTGGTAGGAATATATCCAGTCTAGAATTCTGCTTCTAGCTTTGCTGCTTAGTAATCATGTGACTGTGGACTTAATCTCTCCTAGTCTATTTCTTCACCTGTAAAATAGTAGCAATAATAGCAGCATTTATTGAGCACTTACCGTGGACCAGGTACTGTATTAAAGCGTTGTGTGTATGATCTCATTCAGTCCCACAATAGCTGTGAGGTTGGGACAGGCATCATCCGTACTTTCATATGGAGAAACCAAGGTACATGGTTCACACAGTGACTATGTGGTGGAGCCAGTATTCTGTCCTCAGATCTGTGTACTACCTCCCACTGTGTTAGAGGGTCTGCCTCACAGCGTTGTTGAGAGTTCAAATGAGATCATGTACTTTATGGGAACATGCTTTATAAACTCTGTGATATACTCATTGCTGATTTCTTCAGTCTAATAACTTTGCTTCCAAAAGTATCTTCAGCTCAGTGTTTGAGTGTTGAACAAGAGAGGTACCTGCTGGAATATTGACTAACCTTTCCTTTTTACAATTAAGTTCATTCAACTTATGTACATTTATTGCAACTTAAATTAAATTTAAAATGTAATATGGCATTTTTTTTCCTTACCTTGTTTATCCAACTCAAGTGTGCTCTTTACATTTCCCCAAACACAACCCTGATTTTCAGGACTTTTTTCCTTCACCTATAATTTAGTTTTAATTAATCTCTATGAAAAAGCTGCAGCCTGATGCTTTATCTAAATATCTTGCTTTTTCTTATAATCTGTGTTCTTTTAGTAGTCCTATATTTATCCTTGCTTTCCTGGCAACTAGATGTAAAACCACACAAAACAATGATTTGGGCATGAAGAAAATCAGTAAGTACCAAAGCCACTGATACAGTGTAAGGACAGTGCTTTTTCATCAGCTAATTTCATTAAGGTGAGGACATCTTACAAGAAATGAGCCAGGAGACTATAAGAGAAAACGAGGGAGTCTCCTTCAGTGGCTTACCATAGTTGTGCGGGGGTAGGGAGCATGCCAGTAGGAGCCTTCCCCCAGAGAGGAGGGGTGGACCATCACTGCCCCTGCCCTGGTGCACAGTGACGATTAAAAGCAAGCCAACTTTTAGTCTTTTAGAGATAAGTTCTTTACAGACGGTGCATTTCATTGCTGCCTGCTTCCCACCCTCCCTACTTGTATGCTTCTGATCTTTGCTTGTGCAGTGTAGATGAGCACATTCTCCCCGTAGTAGTTTTTAAGGTAGAAATGTGGAGAATTCTTGTATACTAGGGGAAGGAACCAGAAGTCTCCTAAAATCTCAAAGGAGTGAGAAGGAAAGGAAAATAAATTTAATTTCTAGAGCCAAAGAAGAATAGTGGAAATCTTTGTTCATATTTTTACTCTACAATATAATAAAATATTTTTCCTTGAAACAGCTTCTCTTGAAAGTATAATTATGTTGATAACTCCCAAATAATTCTTTGAAGTGCCAGAGAATAGAGACAGGGAAAATGAGAGTTTGTATCCTTGCTGACTTACATGTTAAGTTGCAGAGTTACACTAGATTGTTTCATTATCAGAGTTTTCTAATGAGAAATATATATAATTTTTCTTATAAGTATTATTCTAGGTTGGGGGACATTTCAATTCAGTATGTATGTTTTTCATGTGTTTAATTCATAGTTACTCTACGTTAAGCAAAAGAATTTCCAAACAGCTCAGATAACAACTTTCATTTAAAACTGGGTTAAGTATATTCAAATTTTTGTAAGCTACATAGAATATGTTTTTAAACATCAGAAATGGGAAGACAAAATGTACATGGTAAAAATTCAAGAATTGATCCCTTATTTGTGCTAATGATGGGGTAAAGAATTTTTTAATTGATAATATAAAACAGACAGTACAAAAATTATTTTTGGCAAATGTATGCATTGGTAAACATACTGACCCCACATCATACCATGGTCTAATTGTATCCCAGCTCTGCCTTTGGGAGCCTGGAAATTGCCAGGGTAGTGACAGGAAAAGACTCTGGGTGATTAAGGGAATCCGGAAAGTGGATAAACCATTCAAGGAAAATCAAGAATTGACCTAATATTTTGGACCAGAGTGTCAAAGGACAGAGAAAAAATCAGTCAAATGGTTTTTGATGTTTTTTTTTTTTTCTAGAAATGTCTATTGAATGTGATTATACAAAGCAGCTGAAAATACAGCTATCTCTTTGGAAATTGTTCTTTTAAATGGAAATGCTGTAAAAATAAGACTGCACATTTTCAATATGCACAAAATCAAATATTATAAATGTTTACATTGTTTTGGTAATTAACTGTGTTCTACTGTAGAAAATCATGGTTGAGGTTGGTGCTCATTTTGCTCAAAATTTTCCCTGCTATCAGGAACTTGTAGCTTGTTCTATATCATTTGGTGAAACGAACAATAGTTTCATTTGCTGTGACCTTCAAGTCCATTGCTAGCCAGAGTTAAATCTACATACATAAAAGTAAAACAATAAATATGGAAACATCCCAACAGTCTTTTCCCATAATGTGTATTCTTACATTTTTCTCAGTAATTACAAATTCTTAACATTTCCCAAATGGTTGTTTCAAACCTTAAATATCACCTTGCTCTTTAATTCTTAGCTAAAATTTTTCAGGATTCTTAAACTGTGTAATATTTCAAACAGAGGTCTCTCATTAAAACTTTTTTTTACAGTATTTGCTTTTCTTTTAAACTTTATAAAGGAATTCTGTAGGTTAACAGACATTGTAACTCCTTATTACTCCTCTGTTCATTGATTCTTAGGTATGCTAGGTCTTAAATAATTTAGACTCGTGTATTCAAGTGTTCTGCTTATGTCTGGCCCTGCATGTGTGCCTTCACTCTTGCATCTGGCCTGCTTTC